GTTGACTTGTTATGAGGAGAAGCAATGAGGCCAACTGAAGTGGGTAAGAAAGGAAAAAGGAAGACTAGAGCAAGACCATAAAAGTCACATCGTGTTACTTTTTAAAATTTTTGTCACTTTTTTTTAGAGTTTTATCACCTTTTAAGTTTTTGTCACTTTTTAAGAAGATAAAAAAATGAAATAATATGTTATATTTTCCTAACATCATCAGCATGTGGATTGACCTAGACGTGCTGATTATTTGAAGGACATGATTACTGGTGCTGCACAAATGAATTGTGTTATTTTGGTATTTGTCACTTTTTTTTTTGAATTTATGTCACTTTTTTGAGTTTGCATCACTTTTTGAAAGTGTGTTACTTTTTTTTTGTCACTTTTTTGAGTTTGTAACTTTTTTTAAAAAACGTAAAAAAGTGACAATTTTTATAAAAAAAAGTGACATTGTGTTACATTTTCATTTTATACAGTATTTTTTATTTCCTGAAAACCTTTCATATGATTTTTCAAAACATCCCTAATTTTAAGGGTTCTTTGTTTTAAGTACCCCATATATATACATATGTATGTGTGTGTGTGTGTAATTTATATGTGATTCTAATTTTGTGTCATCCCAGCAATACAAGAATAATAAGAGAAAATATATTGAAGATGAAAATCTTGAACTCGCAATCAACAATCAAGAAGGAAGTGAAGCAATCAAAATTATAGAGCGTGAAACCAAAATAAAAAAACAAGCAATAAAAATTAAAAAGCCAAAATCAGGAGATTGTAGTTGATCTTCAAGACTCAAGATCCAGTAATAAAGAATCATTTCCAATGAATCAATGTATGTTCCGCATTTAATAATTTTCTTAATGATTTGACAGGTATAATCTTGGCGATAAAGGTTTTGAAGTTCTTGAAATTTAAAGTTTTATAAAATTCTAACAATCTATGTTTATCACAACGTTCCAAATGAATTCTCAAGTGATTCATGTTTTATGTTCGTCACAATGTTCATCTAAATGTTTGTCTAGTCATTTTGCATTTTAGATTTATTAAGGTGTATCATTCAAACCTAGCATAAATATTGGCCTAGTCGTTTGATGTTGTAGATTAAGATAGGTATAAAA